GTGGGGCGTGGATGTTTTTTTGGGTATTGCTTGGGTGAGTTTTTGGTTGAAGGGGGGCGAGGGGTTCGGATGATCAGGATGTGTTGGGCTTGAGGGTTGGGGAGTTGGGGGTTCGAAGTTTTGGGTTTGTGTAGGGTTTGGGAGGCTTGTATTTTTCTTCACAGGTTGCAACGTTTTTCGAGTGCTGCAGCATTGGTTTAAGAGGCAAATCGAAGTTTGTTTGGGTTTGGAGAAGCAGGTTTCGGTTGCATTTTGTGTAGGTTTCTGTTGTTTGCCGGTTTCGCGCTTCGGGGAGTTCAGGGTTTAGAAGAACCATCGAAGCTCTTGAGCTTCAATGCCCGGCTAGAGAAGGCTCATTAATCATCGAACTTGAGAAACTCCCTTTCCTTAAAAGCTTTCAGTGTTTAAATTGGTTTGCGATACAACAAAAACTGCACTCCAAGCCAAGCCCTTTCCTCTGAAACTTGTTGCTCAAGCCAGCTAAAGAATCGCACAGACTAGTATAGACCTTTAAGGAACCCTTTAAAGAACCACCTCTGTACTAGGTCCTCGCAGCCCCCCGATGCATCCTCGATTTCGAAGGCACAGGGTGTCGCCTCGGCTGGTCCCCCGATTATGGAGGTTACAGAGATGAAGCAGCTGCTGAGCTTCAAAGATCAAGGGGCTTTGGGTTGAGGGAGTTTAGGGGTTTACGCCAGTTTCCTTCTTCAGAGGTACCCGGCAGTCGCAAAAGGCCTGGATACAAACGGTTTTCGGGCTGCACGTAATTGGGTTCGTGGTTTTGTTGGGATTCGAGTGGTCGTGTTCATGCTCAACCGTCGCGGTTTCATCAGCTCCAGGTTGGAGCACGAAATCGAGACGCCAACCCTTTCAATGCCTCATAGTTCTCCGAGAGCCCAAAAGACTGAAACCGTAAGTCACACCATCTGAATAGCAACTCCAGCCGTAACGTCATTAAAAAGTGTTTGCGACCAATCTTTCGAAACCGAAACCAGGGTGTGGCAGAACGTCTCGGGGGGCTTCAAAACTGCTTGGACGACCTTTTGGCGCGCGGAGACGTGTGATGCGGAGGCATGATGGCTTTGTCTTTCATTCTTGGGGGCGAAGGTTTTGGAGTTGAGGGTCCATGGCGACTCGGAGGTTAGATCATATGATAAGAGCTAGCTAGGCTCTCAGAAGGAGTCATGAGCTGTTTTGAGGAACTCTGGGGTTTGTTATTGTAGCTTCGACAATAATTAAGCGTTTGGGGCTCTTAGTTTACCGAGGACTCCCATGTCTTGCCCTCGCTACAATTCACTGCCGAGAAGCTCCGGAAGCCAGGGAACCCACTCAACCGCCACCCCGCCGCCCACACATGTACCCTCGGCGGAGCTCAGTTTAATTTCGCCGCACATAATTACATAGGAAGAACGCCTTCAAGGTTAGCAAGGGCTTAGCATAGGAGTTTGGATGAATTGAGTCTTTGGTGAGCCGGTGATTAGCCGGTGATTTTTGACAGCCCTTGCCGGAGCTGCGCCGGAGCCATGCAAACAGGACGGCATAGCCTCGCAGCCGTTGTCGGCAAGCCAGGTCCGAGGCAGGACGCCGAGTCTTTGGGCTTTGGGGTTCAAGGCTTGCGATCAGCTAATTTTTTATAGCTTCAAACGTCTGTGTGGAGGGTTTGGAGTTGAGGGGGGCACCGTGTTCCTGCATTCAAGGGCCGCCGGCACAGCCGGCAGAATCGCAGTCTTGTTCAAATGCACGAGTTTTCAACTACCAGCACAAAGGCATGCTACACAACATTTCGCTACATGAGCTACAGTGGTGGCGCCTCCAGGCAACTGGATTTTCGCAGCTTGCGTGCTGAGCACTACGCTCGGCTTCGTGGCCGTGCACCGTGGCGTGAATACCATAAGCAGGCAGCCTCGTAGCCATCTCGCTCTCGCATGGTCTCGGTCGTAGAGAGAGAGAGAGAGAGAGAGAGAGAGAGAGAGATGTGCAGTGAAGAGCTGGGCCACTTCTGCAACATCTTCCTTGCCTGCATACATGGTCTTTGAGTCCTTTCGGCCTTCAAGTGGTTGCGTGTTTCCATGTGGTGCTTGTGTGCTACCTTGTAATGGCTCCCCTGCACTACCCCTACGGCTCGAAAGGGCGTAAGACTCTGATGGGTACCTGGGTTTAGGGCAGCAGCTTGTAGTATGTTAACGTATTTGGGGGACTGTATATGACTATTCAGTACTCGGGCACTTAGGGTATGGTCAGGTTTGCCGGCCCCGGTCTGGCAGAAGGACGCAGGACACAGAGCTTGGCTCTCTTCTGGCTGGCTGTCAGGACTTTACCTTTTTGGGTTCGATCTGTACTTCGTGTGCTAAGAAGGCTGAAACGCTTCGGAGAGCTTCTACCCCTTATAAAGTTTCAGATACAACTTCCCGAGGGTCCAAAGCACGGTTTTGTCCCTGCAGCCCTCCAATCTTACTCCAGCGCCACTGGATGTGTTCTGCTGAGGTCACTTCGCGGCAGCCAGCCAGCTGAACGCAGCGGATAAAATCAGGTGCGAAGCGCAAAAGCGGTTAGCAAGATTGCTCGGAGATGAGCGCGATCAGGACAATGCAGTATCGATTGTGATGATGTCCTTACAGGTATTGCAGTATCTGCCGCCTTGCCAAGCCAGACTCAGAACCCACAGAGCCCCTAGGCACCCGAGGCCCTAAACGTTAAACTAACTGAATGCATGCTTGCGGTCTGGAGTATGTTCACATGTTTCGTTTACCTTCCGGTTGGCCTTGGGTGTTGTTTGTGATCGAGCTCATGGCACTTCTGCAGGATATGGTGTAGGATACTTCATCCTCCAGGCGGTTGTGCTCTAATTTTATGGCTCCTCAGAGACTCGTCGTGCTTGATCCATGAGCCCTGGGGCCAGCTGTACTCCAAGTTCACCCTGGCACCCAAGTTCCCTTCAAGCGACGCGGTAAATGACAAAGTCTGCCATGCAAAGCTCTGCATCCTTGCATTACCACTACGTCAGCAAATGGCCGACCTCCAACCTTTGAATTCCCTTTGAACTGAACCAGACCTCGAGATGGAGCCAAGGGCTTCCTTTAAGTATAACCCCACAGCCCAAACAAGTAAGTCGCCTTGCTTGAGAAACCCTAGAAACCTTTGCCGACTGGCAGTGTCCGAGTTGTGAGTGAGCCCTAGTCTGATTGTCGCCCTGCCTGGATGGCCGTTTGCTCGGCGGCGGCGTCATGGCAGCTGAATCTCGGTCTGGTCCGTTATGTTCCGTTGAACTGCTTGCACTGTTGGGTGGGGGGGTTTCGGTTTTAGGCTTTGTGGCTTTAGGGATTTCCGGCCTATCTACTCTGTTCGACTTCGATTCAGGGTCACGGGCTTGCGCTGGCTCACGCTAGAACATTATTGTTTGGCAGACATCTGTCAGAAAAGCTGTGTTCGGAGTTCGCTTGAAGGGTGGAGTTGTGCAGCTGTTGGTTCCATTGTCACGAGCGGGCCCGCACTGCACACAGCGTGGGAAGATATCTTGTTAAACTTATTGGTGGGGCCCAGGCTCCGTGCTTCTTCTGGCATTTACTTAACACTGCGCAAGACATGGCAGAGACGATTGCAAATCGTGAGCCATCGTGGCTCAACTTCTTCAGGTTGTTTGCAGACCTCTGCGCAGTTGCATGGAATTCAGCTCCTGGCCGGCAGTCGACAGCCTTTGAGCGGGGCAGCGGACGCATAAGTGCATGTTCCAGAGACGAGGCATTCCGTCTCATGGTTTTCATGGTGTGCACACCGTTCGCCTCAGGGCCTGGTACTGGTGGACCCGTTCTTGTCTATTGGCTTGCAGCCTGGGCGTCCCTTTCGGGATGATGGCACCCCTTACACTTATCCAGAGTGCATTGCACAGGACGTCTCCACTTTCGACAGGCCCAGAGCTTGTCAAGAGGAGGCCCTATGGTCGGGGCTGCAGCATTTGCAGGACAGCAATCGAGGCAACGTCCACAGATGTCTCGAGCGACGATTCGCAACGCACCTTGCACGCAATTAACTTACAGATGCTCTTGCTGCAGGTGTATATCATATACACATCTCAAACAACCTGGGTGTAGGACGCATCCCTGAAACGCCAGAACTTCGGCGGCATGCAAGATTTACACTTGGCCACATTTAAGGTAGGGACGAGGATTTCTTGGCTCGCCTACGTGGCCTCGCCAAAGAGGCACTGACATGGCCACATCTCACGGAGGAATTGATACTTGGGCCTGACCTAAAACGCCGCTTTCTGCTTTGCGGGGTCAGTATAGAGCCGGATGTGTTCTTACTGGTTTGCTTCTGCCGCTTGCTTTGTCATGCGCATTTTTGCCGAGCATCCAAGGAGGTTGATGTGGACTGTGGTACTGAAGACGGACACCGTGCCGCTTCAGGATCTTATGCCTTATTATGGTACTTGTATTTTCCTCTAGTAATAGAAGAGATGGTGCTTAATCATCTACTTTTGCCTTTCTTCTCTGTATAACTAGCACTTCAACAGAACAGGAGTTGCCTCCATGGTTCCTGGAGCGACAGAACCTCTCACGCCGCAGTATGGGCCTGGACCTCAATCTCTGGGAACCAAGCACATGCGGGCTGTTCGGACTTGTTACAATGTGCCACATGTAGTTCCTATTCACTATAGGAAGTACTAGTATCGACTCATCAAATTAGTACCCGAAGGCTACTTGTAGGCATGAATCTTTTGCAGAGGTTTTCTTTAGAGCAACCTTCCATGAAAGCCTAAATCTGTTTGGTCGTGTGCTGCAGGCATTGACCTCATCAGCCTTGATGGACAGCAAGCGGTGCTGTGTCGCAGCGCGAGCGTCAATTCCTCTGTACTTCACCGTGACATCAAGCGTTTTTTGCGCACTGCCAGATGGGTCTGCAAGGCCTGAGAACTGGCCCCATGCTTCGTGTTGAGAAAATGTACTGCAAGGTGGTACTGTAGGACCTTTATGGCCTATCCGGGCTTGAAATGTAGCCTACAAGCCAACCTTACAGCTGAAGACCTAGTATGATGCAGGCAGAAGATATTCTCATGCTCACCAGCCGCGGCACGAAACTGCAGGCCGAGTCCAAGCAGTGGCTGCGCCAATATGGTGCCAAGCATCGAACCGTCAGCAAAGCCGCGATGCACCGGCTGTCAGCTCGAACCTCACAACCTTTACGCGTTGCCTCTCCGGGGGCAACTGGTCTTGTGAATCCGCAGCCTCTCCGGCCGTGCCAGCAGGCACGACGTCGTCCAGTTCGCCGAAATAAATCTAAGTTACACACTTATAGGTAGCTCTTGAAAATTAAAGAGGAGTGTTCATGCAATTGTCCTGTTGTGACCCTTGTCAGGCGTGCCTGGAAGCATGTGCAGAAGGGGCTCGGGTGATTGAAATGGCTTGCGGCACGGGAAAGTCGCGAATAATCCGGGAGTTGGCCAAGAATGTTTCCGGCAAGGTGGAGCACGGTTGTCATTGGGGGGTCATGCCGGGGCCCGGAATAGGCAACATGTCTAAAACACAGATCAGAGGCTCCCACAGGCAGCAGACATCGCGCAAAAAAATGCAGGGCAGTCTAACTTGACACAAGACGAGGTGCTGATCACAGTGCCCTCCCGCTTGTTACTGGAACAGTTTGCGGCCGAATTCCCCAGCTTCTGCAAGGTGGGGACTGGCTACAACAAGCACATCAACAGAAGCGCTTGTGGCTTCATCGCAGTGGCGGATTCTGCAAACCTACTCCAAGATATTCGGTTCGAAGCTGTTTTCGTGGATGAAGCTCACCATCCATTGCCTTCAGGTCTGCCTGAATGTGAGGAGATATTCCTTTTCTCGGCAACGCATTATTTGGAGGCAGACTTCGAGTATAGCATGGGTCAGGCCATCAAGGATGGAGTCTTATGCGATTACGATCTCACAGTACCTATCATCACCGATTGCCATCCCTACTTGAGTCTGGCAAAGCTTCTCCAATCTAGCCAAGGCCGCTTCAGGCGAGTACTAGCATACTGCAACTCCGTAGCTGAGGCTAAGCGCGTGCAAGAGGTTTTTAAGACAAGTGGAATGGCTGTGTGGCACATAAACGCTGCAACCAGCCGGTGGAAGAGGAAAGCGGCAATTGAAGAGTTTGCGGGCAGCATGCTGCGAGAAGTGCATGTTTTGGTTACGGTTCAAGTCTTGGGCGAAGGTGTGAACATTCCCAATGCAGACACTTGCCTGTTCGTGCAGCCGCGCAACAGCTACACAAGCATTATACAAGCTTTGGGCCGTATTTTGCGGAAACATGTTTCCAAACCTATGGCACATGTCATTCTTCCAGCAGTGGCAATGCATTCCGACGAACCTATGAGTGCTGTGGTGTCGGCAGGTGACTCAGCTTCTGGGGTTGGCTTTCACGGATCAGGTGATTCTCCTACCCAGGATAGTTCTTTGAGTTCTAATGGCAATGGCGTCCTACCGGCCAGTGCCCCTGCTACAAGTAGCAGGGATTGCAATGACCTTCCAACCAGTGGTGCGCAATCAAAGTCCGGGTTCCGGAATCAAAATGAAAGCGCTGTGCTGCGTGGGGGCATAGAGGGTGCAGCCACCGATGCCTCGCAACTTTCTCCTGTCGCAACAGCTGCTTTGGAAAATGTGAATTTGGGAAATCGTGTTCGTCAGGAATCAGCGGTATCCGACGTTGCGCAAAAGCGGATCAGAGATGATGAGAATGAGGCCAAACCGCCCCAATGCCGGGACGGCAGTCTGCTCAGAAAAGGGGCTGGCGTGACCACTAAGCGCCGGGTTCAGAGCAGGAGATTGAAGTTTTCCAGCTCGCTGCTCGGGCAGACCAGGGAAAGGTACGATTCACAGCTTGAGCGTTTTCTGGCGGTCATCGCTCATGCTGACTGTGGCCTTGTCGACTCCCCGAAGTCTTTGCGCTTTCGCCTGAGCTTTGTAGATTGTCGTTCCTCGAGGTCTGGAAATGCATTGCTCTTGGCAAGAAGCGAGCTCCTCCACACCCTGGTAGGACTGATTGATGGCGATGATCGTTGGGAATCTCGAGTGCAGGAACTGGAAGGCTTTGTCCGACAGCACGGTCGGCTTCCAACGATTAGGGACATGAAGGAGGGAATGCCGCAGAGGTCCTTGTTTACATGGGTGAAGAACACCGGAAGATTGGTGACCAAGGGCAGACTTCCGCCCGACAGATACCAAAGGCTTCTTAACTCATCGCTGGTACCAATCCGCACCCGTGCTCTGGCGTGGAAAGATCCAGGATTCCGTTTCCGGAGACACTGTGAACGACTGCGAGATTTTGTTGAGAAGTTTCAGACCGTGCCGAAATCAGGACGAGCAGCTTATGACGTTGAAGGCAAATATTTGGCATGTTGGCTGCACGGTCAAAGGAGAACCGTGAAACTGGGGCTTCTGAGATCCGGGACTAGGTCGGATGCATGCTTGCGAAGAGAAAGCATTGCAGCCGTCCACCCCTTGGTTGCAGATTATGTCCAGTCATGGGACACGCCGCTTCTGTTGAGGCCTCGAAGAGACGCGATGAAGAAATGGAGTGAGTTGGTCACTTATGTCAAAGCGAAAGGCAGGCTTCCCAGATCACACCGTGATCTCCTGCAGAATCGCTTGTACCAGCGTTTGGTGAGGCTGAAAGAGCGCTGGACATGGCTGGCTGAAAAGGAGCAGCATGCGGTCTTGAAGTCGCACCGGCTCATAGCCGAGTTCCTGCAGAAGCCATAGCCGCTGGTGCCAGATGGGAAGGTCTGTCTCTCTTGAAACAAGTCTTGCTGGCTCATGGCTGCATCTTTGCAAAAGAACCATCGCATATTTTCCTGTCGCCTGTGAGGGTCGTCTTTCATCAGACGCAGTGTGATTACTAAGCCTGAAAAGGGATGCAGATACCGAGTCGCCTCATCCGCCGTAGCGTTGAAAGGCTGCCATAGCTAGCCGATGATAGCCATGTAGTGTTAAATTGTTACGTTAACAAATATGTTTTCGATAGCGGAATTTTATCATGTAGTGTATGTATGTATGTATGTATGTATGTATTTATGTATGTATGTATGTGTGACGTGTGCATGTATGTACATACGTATGTTTGCATGCACGCATGTACGGTTATGCATCTGTATATGTACATGTACATGTACATGTATATGTATATGTATATGTATGTACACACACACACGTCTGTGTGTGTGTTTGTGTTGTGCATGTATTTAGTTGGGGGGTTGGTTGATTAGGTACATACATACATACATACATACATACATTAGTGCATGCGTACATACATACGACACTCTAATGATATACGTGCATGTACATATTCATATACATATACTACTACTACTACTACTACGACTACGACTACGACTACTACTACTACTACTGCTGCTGCTGCTGCTGCTGCTACTACTACTACTACTACTACTACTACTTCATGATAATAATAAGAAGAAGAACAAGAAGGATAGCAATAATCATAACAATAATTCTACATGAACAGATATATTGGTCATAATAATAATGAGAATGGAAACGGAAAATGCATGGTAATAGTAACAATAATAACAGTAGTCGTGATAATTTTACCAGCAACCAGTATATAAGACAATGATGATAGTGGTAATGGTACAAACAACAATATTAGCAACAAGTGGCACATGACTAATAAGCATATGCATGTACGCGAGCACACAGGTACACACACCCACACACACACACACACCCACACACATACATATATATATATA